TGTCAGAAGAGTATTCCATAGTGGAAGCAGTAATATTATCATATTTTTTTTATGAGTAAAAAAACTCTAATGCGTCAAGACTGGATAAATGAGAATGGTTTATTTGTTTGAATATGCAATGAGATATATAAACACTTGACAGTCAAGCTTCAAGAACAAGATTTGAGGCTTGGCACAAACCCTGGAGACTGAATTAGAAAATGTTTTGACGTAGCGCCTCTCGGAAAGACCACCAGTGTGCCCAGCACCGTCATCTCTCCACTGCACCTAACAACATTTGTCTTTGATACGCAGCTCACTGGCCAATGAATTCATGGGCCCACGAATTCTGACACTGCCCAGGGAGGCGTTTAGACCCATCGGATCGTATGGAGGAGGAGACCAGTAGGGCTCTGAGGGCACTGTAAATCTTAACACACAAGGGAATGCTGAAAAAACCTCAATTAGAGTAGAGAAGATATCAGGGGGTTATGGTACTTGTCCTCAAATATTTGAAGAACAGTCAGAGGGAAAAGGGGACTGGATTCTTACTCTCTGGTATTTCAAATGCAGAAGATTGGGATGAAAGAAGAAAGTAAGAGGAAGGAAATCAATATAATTACTGACCGTGGAGTGTATGTCCAGACTGTGCTGGGTGTTGCTTATGTGAGCTCCTTTTTTTTTTTTTTTTTAAAGATTTTATTTATTTTTTGACAGAGAGAGACATAGCGAGAGCAGGAACACAAGCAGGGGGAGTGGGAGAGGGAGAAGCAGGCTTCCCACAGAGCAGGGAGCCTGATGTGGGACTCGATCCCAGGACCCTGGGATCATGACCTGAGCCGAAGGCAGACACTTAACGACTGAGCCACCCAGGCGCCCTATGTGACCTCCTTTAACTCTCAGAAAGTTCCCCTGTGGTAGCTGTTACCTCCTTGTAACAGAAGAGATGGAGGTCAGAGAAACTAAAAGATACTATTTCTACTAATAGTAGCAAAAATACGACTACTTAGTAAAAAACAAAACAAAGCCAAAAACCACTTCCTGAGTGTCTGCTGTGTGTCAGACTGTTCTAAATGCTTTGAGTACATGATACTTTTTTATTGTCACAGCAATCCTATGAGAGAGGTACTATTTTTATATCCATTTTATTGGTGAGGAAACCAAGACACAGGAGTTGAGTCCCATGTTTGGTGTTACACTGTTAATAAATCTGGAGTGAGAGTCAAAGCAGATAGTCAAGCCTGCTTCACTCTTATGTCACTTTGTGTCTTTGCTTTCTGAGCGTGTGCTCTGTGCCAGACCCAGTATTTGACGATTTATATCCTCATAGCAACATAGCCCCAAAGAATGAAACGACTTGCCAGAAGCAAATACCTCAGCCAACATTGTTCATTTTCGGGCTCTGGGCTAAGTCTCTTTGGACCGTGCTCAGCTTTCTCTGTGCTTGCAGAGGTGTAGACTCTGAATCAGAAACTTTTTAGCAAGTAGAACAATTGAGAAAACCAGAATGGGGGTCCCCAGGGAAGAAGAGGGAACTCAGAAGCTCTCCTTCTCTGGAAACATTGGGAAGAAAACTTGTGTCAGTTAGGCAGCGATGGGGTAGAAGCTTCATGTAAAGTGTTGAACCCAATGCCCGCTAAGGTTTTGTCTGGCTCTGGGATTTTATGAGGCTGTGTTTTCTTCTCATCTGCCCCTGTCATCTTGTTTTCCCCTGGGTGTACTCAAATGTACGTGCAAATCTCACTGTGATATTTGAATCTGGCTCTGGGGGTTAGATTGCCTTGGTAAGATACTCACTTGCTAGGATACTTGACATGATGCCTTAGGGGAAATGGTCGATCATTTGAGAAGGCAGCAGCATCAACAGTAAGCAGTGAAGTTAACTAAGACGGAAAATGAGTCTGTGGGTCTTCACACAATGCGAACAGGTAGATCTAACGGTAGCCGGGGTCTCCCTTAGACATGCTGTTACAGTGAAAATATTTGACTGCCTTGACTTTTATTTTCAAAGCATTTACCAAATGCCCAGTTTGGAAATAGTAGTTTCCCGAGGGTGGTCTCAACTTTAATTATATCTGTTGCAACTTGCCTACTCTGCTAGATGTCTCATTTTCAACTCTGAATGTCTTTGGGTGGACATGTCTTCCTTCCTGTGACCCCCCCCCCGGGTGAAATTTGTCATGTTATCCTGCAGCGTTCCTCTGACATGCTGTGCTGTCTTGTCTCCTGAAACCATCTCTTGCCTTGTTTTGAGTCCTGAGGGTAACAGAGGACATCCATGTCTCTGGGTCAGAGGATGTACATGACTTCCGCATTTGCCTCTTTATACCTCCCCCCTTCTCTTCCCCAAGCCTCTACCTTGAACCAATCCTCCATACCTCTCTTAAACGTCTACCTAATTCCCTTTGGTGACATCAAATTGGTGATATTGATGGGTGAATCTTCTCTGACAGTCTTCCTGTGTCCTTCTGACTCATTTTATTTCAGCTCAAAGCTAAGAAGACGCATTTTCTCCCTTTTTCCTTTCCCCTCTATTTTTCTATTCCTTGGCTTTTCTTTCACTGTTAATTCTGTTGGACATTTAAATGTTTTTCTGGAGGAGGTGGGAAGGTGGGGAGGAAAGTGGAAGCCACTTAAAATTGACTGGTGTTCCCATCAGTGGCCTCAGAAAGTTATTGCCCAGTCTAGAACTAAGATGGGAAACAGATTATGTACCATCTGATGATTTGCTTCTCTAAACCGAGGAGAAGTCACAGAATAAGGGCCTGTGCACAGTGAAGGGTTTCTATCTGTGCTACTTTCTGTCTAATAAATTCAAAATGATAACTATAATGCATGTCCCTCTGAGAGGTTCCGATGGATTTGTAAAGGATTTTGACTTGTGCCTGGAGCTCAGCTGAGTTACGGAAAAGAGGAAATAGGGACTGTGTCTGTATATTATCATTAGGTTGAGAACTGGAAAATAAAGATGTGCTTATGTGTGTATGTATATTCATATACGTGTATTTGAATTATTCATGTATTTAGAAGTCCAGTGGTTGATATTTATTTAATTTTCATTCAAATGTTGGTGGATTAAGTATCAGTGTGCACAGTCCCATTTCAGCGAGCGTCTTAACTTTTGACATGGAAACAGAATATTACTATCACTTTTCACTTTTCCCTTCCAGTCAGCTGCAGGAAACAGTCATTCATTCTCTCGGGAAACTACTTTTAGAAGACAGGAGATACTGACGAGACTGGAACCACTAAGACTGAGTGTAATAGAGTCTCAGTAATGGAAGGGAAGACACCAGACACTTTTATATATATAGAAAAGTCAACATCGGAAATAATCAGAAGGGTTTCCAGGTTACTCATGAGATCTCAGTGGATTAGTGAATAACATTCTCCATGGTAATAGCATTATTAATTTCTAGGCTTTACAGGAAAAATTCATTAATTTTTTGCAGAAGTTAAACTTTCTTTTTGGGTTTCCAGTTAGACCCACTGTGTTAACCAGTTCACGGTCCCTCCCCTTCTCCTCCCTCTTTTCTCTCTTCTTGCTCTCCTTTCTTCTCACTTCCTTACCTTCTCCTGTGACAAAGAGAAAATTACATTAAAAAATTAACCATTAAAAGAAATTCAAGACTATCCAGGTTGTATATCGATGTCTTTATTCTCCTCACTAAAGTTGCCATTGGTAAAACAGATTGTTTCTTTCAGAAAAGTGGAAAAAAGGAAGAAAAATTAAAGCCTGTAGAGGCAACGCATATAGGGAATCTCGTGTTGAGCTTTCAGTGTATTCTCTGCTGCATGTTAACGATGAAGGGCGGGGCTGTGACATGAAATATTGTTCCTTATTTAATGTTTCACACTTTGATCTCTGCATTGCATATTTGCCTCTCTTGTGACCTTCTCTTTGCCTTTATAACTGCTTTTTTTCACCCATAATCCAAAATAAGTGTACATTCCTACAGAGAAATTAAAGGAAGCTGTCAGTGTAGAGTTAATATAGTTAAAGCATCCTTAACTCTGCTACAAACCCCTTAAATAATTAAAACTGTATGCTTGAAGAGTCATATTTGCATTTCTTTACGAAGTTTATTTAGCACGCTTTGTTACACTCAATTAAGTGAGACTGTTCTGTTTCATTTTCTTTGCTTCGGGTTGATTATTTTGCCTTTTGATTCTTAAGCCCTAGTGTAATTTCACAGTGCTTAGGTCTCTAAAAGTATACATATATTAATGCATATGTAGATCTATACACACCCATTAAAAGGCTTACGAATTATACTGAATAGAATCTTTGCCCAAGGCATTTGAGCGTTGCAAGTCATCTAAGGTGTAACTGGGACTGCAGATAATTCACTGTGGTAAAGAAGGAGCTTGACAAAGTTCTTTTAACATTCAGTGTTTTTCTTTTAAGTCCTGTTATTTTGACATCACCTTCTCTCTCCACTGTTTGATTTGTGAATCACTTAGCAAAAACAAGAAGATACAGGTGTCGAATGGTTGTGGAAAGGAAATTAAATATAAGTACTATCTATATCTCTCCACATCTCAGTTGGCAAAGCATGTGCAAGGTGTTCTCCGTAAATTAGTTCATTGCTTAAGTTATGCATGTTTAAGAAGGAATAAATGTAGTTATCAATTTCTTAATGAGTAGTGGGATCAATTGGAGCATGATGAGAGAAAATAGCATAATTTTGCTTCCCCAGTTGGGGTTCAATATCCCTAAACTTCACCATTAATCACTCTGTCCATTTCCTGGGTTATTTCTGATTTTACATGTAAGATATTCTTTCCTTTTCATTCTCCTCTCAGGTAAGTAAGCCTTTTTGAATTTGCTCAGTGGGGTCGTAGATGGGGGATGCTTTCTCCTGTGCATCTCAAAGTCTCCCTTGTTGCAAAGGCCCCTTCGGCCTTTGCTTCAGTTTATCTGGGTGTGTTCACGGATAACCGTCGATATGTATGTGCAATGACAATTACGGGGGTTCTAATATATTTAACTGTTATGGGATCTGTTATGTCTACTTTAGGGTCGACCCCATCCCATATGACACTCCAAAACCAGCGGGCCACACGCGGTTTGTCTGCATCTCAGACACGCACTCCAGAACAGATGGTATCCAGATGCCTTATGGGGACATCCTTCTCCACACAGGCGATTTCACCGAGCTGGGACTGCCCTCAGAGGTTAAGAAGTTTAATGACTGGTTAGGTAAGGAATGATTGCGTTCTGGCGCCCCCAATTAACCTTTCCTGTCCGAGTGTCACTCACTGCGTCCTAATTGAATTAGAGCACTTGGAAGCCAGCTCAGCCATTTCTCATATGATATGCGGTGGTGTCTAGCTTTAATCCAATTCTGTTAATTAAAGATGAATTTTTAGATATTTAATTTTACTGTGCATCCTTTCAGTGCCTGGCCTCAGCGGCTCTGGGGCAAAGGGACGGAAAGCTTTGAAACCCATCTCATCTCACTCATGCTGCTTTAATGAGGGCATTCATTGGCACACATGAGACCTAGAATCATATTTTTAATTCATTGGCTCTGCAGTCTTTCCCAGATATTATGAGCAAAGATGTACAAATGACCTGCTAGTAAGAGAATATTTCTAAGAAATGAAGGAGGATGTGAAAGTCCTTCTATGAAGGGAGGGTCCTAGCACAGTGCTCCTTGGGGGCAGCTTTCCTAAGTGAACCAACGGATGTCCTAAAACCCCTGAAATGATAAGTTGTTCTGCTGTAAAGCTTCCCAAACTTGGAATGTGAAACCACCCTAGATACACCAAGAAAAGGATGATGGCAACTTTGTGGTTACTGTAGAGACACCCACAGGTCAGGGTTATGGAAAAATGTGGGCTCCTGGGTCAGGCAGTGGCCAAATATTAGCATTACAAGGCAATCATGGGGTTATTCAAAACTAGATTAGATGACACATCTTTTAAAAGAATCCCCTTAGGGGCGCCTGGGTGGCTCAGTCGTTAAGCGTCTGCCTTCGGCTCAGGTCATGG